CGCCCTGTGGGGGGTGCTCCGGGAGTACGGGGTCCAGGGCCCTTTGCTAAGGGCCGTTCGGTCCCTGTACGATCGGAGCAGGAGCTTGGTTCGCATCGCCGGCAGTAAGTCAGACTTGTTTCCAGTGCATGTTGGACTCCGGCAGGGCTGCCCTTTGTCACCGGTTCTGTTCATTATTTTTATGGACAGAATTTCTAGGCGCAGCCAGGGGCCGGAGGGAGTCCGGTTTGGGGACCACAGGATCTCGTCTCTGCTTTTTGCAGACGACGTTGTCCTGTTGGCCCCATCAAACCAGGACCTCCAGCGTGCACTGGGGCGGTTTGCAGCCGAGTGTGAAGCGGCTGGGATGAGAATCAGCACCTCCAAACATGCAAAAAGATAAGAAATCAGTAAAGGGGCAAACACTTTTTTTCACGTGTGTGCGTGTGTATCTCCATCTTTCAAGCAGCTTGAAATATATAAATACTTACAAATCTGAAATACTAACGTCTTTGACAAAACACTTAAACATATCATTATTTTTATGTTTCTGTCAGTTCAAATCAACTTGCCTCCCACTATGAAGATCACCAAAGGCCTCCCAGACACATACACAGCTGTCCAGATGCACCTGCACTGGGGTGGTTGGGAGGTGGAGGAAAGTGGAGCAGAACACACCATAGACGGCATCCGCTACATGGCAGAGGTTGGCTACAAAAGTTTTTAAAGTGGCTGTTTGCTTTGACTGAGCCAGACAGAGTAGAAACCAGTTACTCTATGCTACATAAGCCATTGACAGTGTAGGTGAATTATAACAGATCATGAAAAATACATGGTGCCTGTATTTGTTAATAAGGATAGGAATAGTTTCTTCTTCGTAAAGAGTTTTCCATTTGAACAGGAGGTCGTTGGTCATATTTTGGCATCTAACCTCTTCTGCATTTCTACCTTGTCTTTCAGCTCCATGTTGTCCATTACAATTCTGACAAGTACGAGAACTTTAAAGAAGCCAGCGATAAGCCAGACGGGTTGGCAGTACTCGCATTTTTCTATGATGTATGTAAGCCACAAATACTTTGGTTTCCCTTCCTCTGTGGTCTGCTTTGTCTGACCACCAGGTTGTTCAGCATCACAAAATACCAGCACAAATTATCTCCTCCAAGGTGGAGGTCATGTTTTTACCAGCATTTATTGCTTTGTTTTTTGTTCACAGCATAAAAAGGGATTTTGATGATATTCTTTGGACAGGTAGGATATGGCCCATGGAGCAATCCATTTGACGCTGATCTGGATCACTGAGTGGATCCAGGAATTTATAAAAGGATTCTTTACTATTGTGAGATGGGGCCAGTGTCTATATTTTTGCTTCTAACTCCATACATAATGCCTACAATCCGTCAAAAAAATAAGATCTACCACAAACCAAAGTATGGTCCGGTATCCAAATAATATTCCAGACATGCTGATTCAGAATGTTCATACTGAAAACTGGTTACTGTGACACAACAAATAATACTACAGACTAACAACTAACATGAAATTCTATCTGAAACTCTGATGACTGAGGAGGGTATCAACAGATGTGATGAATCTTCAAAAGTTACTGAGCCAGATCCTGAAGGAAACTGCCATTACTGAAGAATCGTTTCTCTTGAGTAATTTTCAAACTAATCATGATATCAGTGTGTTTCAAAATGCTAGAGGTATGTTTTCATGGCCAGGGAATCGTATTGTGAAGGTCAAACTATCAGAAATATTGCATTTAGGTGAGCTGCCACGGTGGAGGTTTGCTCTCTCTGAGTGCTGACTAGTTCAGATAACCATCAGCTCTGCTGTGGGATGTTTAGAAAAAGACTTTGTAGTAAAAAATGATCAACTGCCAAATTACACAAAGACACAATGACTCTTTGAAGTGTGTGAGACTTTGTTTCAGTCATCCTGTTGAGTTAAAGGCTCCATTTAGTGTTCAGTTGCACATTGACATACTGAATGAGTGCTTGTTTCCAGAGGAATGCTTTGGCTCCCAGCTATGAGGTCACAGCTGCAGTGGCCCCACTGCTGGCATCTGCCCTGTGCAGCATAGAAAGGCACAGTGCTAAACTCATTTTGTATTTAGAACCTGTCTGACCACCTCATGTTTCTCGTTCTGTCTGACTTTGTTGCTGCCATGTTGCAATGGACTAACCTATTTAAAAAAGACAAGTCATAACAAACCAGTCATCTTTCAAAACTAAAAGCTGAGTTCAGGATTCAGCTTCTTCTGTTTTGGTCAAACCGTTAACCTGTAAGTGTGACACAGCTTTGGTGTATTTCCAGGACGGGCATTTCGAGAACACTTACTACAGTGATTTCATCTCCAACCTGGACAAAATCAAGTATGCAGGTGAGTTACTGCTGGAGCACATAGGAAGCAAAGGTGCCCTGTGGAGTTTCTTGTAAACAAACAAACATTATGTTTACATTCAGTGTTGCTCACCAAAACTCCCTAGGATATCAGTGAAACATGTTTAAGGCATTTACTTTCTCATAAATCACGAACAAAGCTCTTTTTAAAAACCTGTTTACATCTATGTTTACATGTATGTAGATAGGCCTATGTGAAACCACTGGAATCATCCAGCTGTGTGAATACATAAGCTTTTGTGTGTGAAACCAACAGAATAAGGAACCACCTGTAAAACTGATTCATAGTGCTACCAGAGACCAAACTACATAGGGCACCTTTAACTGATCTTTAACTGAGCTGGACTCAAATAACGGGAGTCTCGTGTGATCCCTACAGATCAGTCCATGAATATATCGTTCATCGATGTGCGCTCCATGCTCCCCGAGAACCTCAACCATTTTTTCAGATACGAGGGCTCCCTTACCACTCCACCCTGCTATGAAAGCATCCTCTGGACTGTGTTTGATACACCCATCACTCTGTCACAAAACCAGGTACGGACAGACAGGAAGGCCAGGCTGTCGCCATTTTAATGCAACCTGCATCATCCATTTCTCTGCTTCTGTCTTTGGTTCAGATCAGAAAACTGGAGAGTACGCTGATGGACACTGACAACAAGACCCTCAGGAATGACTACCGCATCGCTCAGCCTCTCAACAGCCGTGTGGTGGAGTCCTCTTTCCTGCCACGACTTGGGAAAGGAAGTATGCAGAGTGTTGTGACAGTGTGATTACACAACAGTAAAACATCTTTTATTCCTCAGATTTACATGTGGCACGACTGAGTCTAACCCTTGTTGTTTTCATTCACCTTTTGTTCAGCATTTTGTCGGCAAGATGAAATTGAATCCAGGCTCTTGAGGATCGAGGGTTTGATAACTACACTTGGAAAGCAGATGAATTCAGGTGACTGAGTTGTTCGTCATTAAAACTGCTAAAGATAAATGTGATGTGAGAGTTCTCATATTTATTCTGCAGTATTTGTCTTTTTCCTGCTTGTTCCCTTCAGGTGGAATGCGCGGCCCAAAGCCTACAAGACATGGTGAATTTTATATTTATTCTGTGATTTATGCTTATGGATGATTAAAGGTATATTGCCATCATAAGATATTTCTTGCTTGCGAGTCTGATCCTTGCTTTTCTGTCTTCCTCAGAACCTCTTGGTCTGTTTCCTCTGGTGCTCAACTTCCAGGAGAAAAATGCTGGTAGTTATGCTTTGGCTAGCCTCAGTCATCCCATGAGTTTGGACTCCTTCACCGCCTGTATGCACGTCCTGACTCAGACTGACAATGTCCACACTGTCATTTCCTACTCTAGTAATGGTAATGACAATGAGCTGGTGATCTCCATCAGTACAAGAGAAGTGGGCCTCTGGATTGGCAACAAGTTCATCAACCTGCCGTACAGCTTCAAGTCTCAGGACTGGGCCAACTACTGCGTCTCCTGGTCATCCCACACCGGTAGCGCAGACCTGTGGATCAACGGCATGGTGGGGGAGCAGCGGAAGCTGAATGAAGGTTACACAATCAGCCCTGGTGGTGTGTTCATCCTGGGCAAAGACCAGGATGTATTACTAGGCATCTCAAACTCAAACGCCTTTGTGGGTAAGATGACTGATGTCAATGTGTGGGACTATGTGCTGACCACAGCAGATATCCGGAACCAGATGTCATGTCAGAGGAACAGCACCAAAATTGGAAATGTGTTCAGCTGGGGAACCACTGGACTTAGCCTGTATGGAGGGGTGCAGCTGGACAGCGGGTACAGATGCTCCTGAAAAGGCTCAGCTGTTTGTTTGTATGAACTTTAAAATGCTGCAAGGAAGCAAAATATCACTGCTGAAGGTAAACATTTAGCAGGATTACGACATATGCAACGAGGGCTGAAAAGTCTTTCAGGCACCTTTAAATCATTACTGAATGAAAACTATATTTCATAGCTTCAGCCATGTATTCTGTTCATTTCTTTGCATCATCAATAAAGGCTTACAAGTGACTTGTTAGCTTGTTTAATGACTCAAGCACACCATTCACACCTCTGTACAGCTAATGCAAGCAATAAATCACAGTGTTTTTAGCCTCCATTGAAATGAAAAACAGAAGATATTGTGCAAAGAGTTTCTTTTTCAAATAAAGCTTCATTCAATCATATCCAGTCCATTACAGTGCCCCCAGAATAGAAACTTCCTCAGTGCTCTCACTTTTTTTCAGAAGGCTGTGACCTTCTCTGCATTCTCCAGGCTTTCTTTGGGCTCTTTTAGTGGCAGATCCCCATCACCCAGTTTGATCTCTACTTTGTTCCTCTTGGCGAACATCTGGCAGATCTCCAGGAACGTCTTGTTCTTGGTCTCTGGGACCACCAGCCAGATGTAGACCAGCGTAACAAGACAGATGAAGGAAAAAATGATAAAGCTGTAGGAGCCCAGGCCTCTCTGGAGAGAGAAAGAGGAGAGGAAATAGGGTCACTGGCCTCAAGATGATATGTTGTAAATCTGCTGGCCAAACATAAACAGCAGCCAGCGATCGGGTTAGGTCCAGAGTTTCATGTTACATTTCTTGGAATGCTCTTCTCCTTTCTGTTACTCAAACACAAGGGAGTTGTTTGCCTTTTGGCTTTACATGAAGGAAAGAAGTGAACATGCCAAATGGTCATGTCTATCTTTGAGATTATCTTAGTCCAATAAAAAAGACACAATGACAAAACTCCCAATGAACAAGGACTGATGACAGTTCTGCTAGAAGAAAGCAAATGTGAGAACAGAAATGATTGCAGACATATTGAAAAACTCTCAGCATGGAATAATAATTTGTGTCTGATATGGTTGTTTCACAAAAAAGTTCAGTTACTTAATTAAAATTTCTTAGTGAAAGGTCCACAGTCAATTGATATAAATAAAATATTCTTCATCTTTGGTGTTTAGCTACTAGACGTGTCTCCTCCTTCACTGTGAAGTTTATTCTCAGTGTACGAAGGGGACGGAGGGTGCAGGTTTCCACATCAGCTGCATATTGGACCACAACTGAGTGGTTATATACATGTGTTAAACTAAAACTTAAGGTGGGCAAAGAGAAATCTTCAGCAGATGAATGTGTATGGTAGCCTGGCACTGTCTCAAGGTAACAGAATCTCCATGAGGTTCTTGTTTGTTTGTTCTGTACAAATACAACCACAGTTTGTTGTTCTACAGGGAGGACCTTAGTACTTGGCTGGAAGCAGTGACTCTTTATAGTCTCTGCTTCTTATCTGATATCAGTACATTTATTTATGTGCATTTATGGGAAATATGCAAAGTTTAAGTACATTTGTCTTATTTTAAGGATGTTTGTTGTTTATTATTGATGCCGTTTTGTGCCAGGTGTTGCCTCAGCCTGTGGCCCTGATACAGAGATGCTGTTTCATCACAATGTAAGACTAAATGAATGATGAAGGTCTATAACCAAAATGTTTCCCTTGAGTGTTCAGGAATTTCAAACTTTATTTCGTTTGGCTAAATAAAACAAAGTTTGCCTGCTAATCTAAATGAAAAACATAATATATGTTGTCTACTGACAACAAATAAAGTCATATTATAGCAAGAATGTGGAATAATTCAGTGAACTGCCTCGTTGTTTACAAACATTTCCAACAAATTGCATTTTGAAATACTAAATGTTTGCTCTCCCCAATGTAAGAGTTCTTTTGAACTGTATAACAGACCTCTAGAAATGGGAAGATGAGGCCAACAGTGAAGTTAGACAGCCAGTGGATGGATCCGGCGACCATGAAGGCAGCAGGCCTGGCCGACTGCCTGAACATCTCTGTGGTCACCACATAAGGAATGGGACCTGCAGAACACAGATACGGTCACAACCACAACCATAACATGTGAAACACTTCATCACACTTCAGGGTCAGAGTGCGGCTGCTCATGTCTCAGACTACTGACAACATATATCATTACATGTCTGCTCACATCCAAACAACACTTCAGCTAATGGAGCACCCTGCTCTAATCACTGTGTGTGTGTATAACCACCGGTGGGGTCAGACTCACTGGGTCCTATTGCATGTCCTATGACGTAGATGATGACACAGGCAACACTGACATAAGGCATCCATGTCACACTCTCCTGTCAACATAAATCAGCAGTTATTGTCATTGCATTCATCTGTTTATTTATGCTTTCAAACAGGAGAAAACATACAACATGTAGACTTCACTGAGTGCATGATTAACATGTCTGTTCCCTACTGTTTACTGCTGTTGACAGTGATACCTGTCTGATAATGTTGGCTATAGGTGAGATTACAGGAGTGCAGGAAGGCAGCACTGTCTCTTTGACATGAACTGTTTCTTTGTCTCAAGAGTTCTCATAAAACCAGCTGAAAGAGATGTCATCATTTTTTCTCCAGACCAAGTTTAGCATGTTGAGTAATATGTAAAAAATCACAGTGACACATGTTCATGCATTTTGGTTTTGTACTCCACTCCACCAGAGCTGAATTAAACAGTGACCATGAGTTCTTATTTTTAAAAGGATCCGAAAAAACAGTCACTAATCTTAACATATCAGAGCCTGCTTATTCCTTCCGTCCTGTAGTAGACCTCATTGTGTTCACCTCCAGTGCATCAAGGCGGTGGTAGAAATCTCACAGGCTGATTATTCTTGAGCAAAGCAAAACAAAAACTATCAATATATTAGTAGAGGCAAGGAAAAGAACTTTTGGCTGGCGGATGAGCAGAGCCTTTAAGGGTGTTTGAGCTGGTTCACATTCATAGGGAATGAATAATACTAGTATCATACAGCCTTACACCCACACACACCCACACACACACCTTGTACAGCTATCTTTTTGAGGACACTCACTGACATAATGCATTCTCTAGTTCCTTATCCTAATGTTAACCATTAACTAAACACCTAGCACTAACACCTAACCTAATTCTACCAGTAACCCTCAAATCAGGTCTTAACCCACAAACAGAAAGTGGCCAAAATGTCATTAGTTTTCTAAAATGTCTGATCAGCCATAACATTATTACCACCTGCCTAATACTACATAGGAGTCAGTGCAGTAGGTGGCTGACACTTGTGTCACTCTGCAGCTCACTGTGCATGAAGATCATGAATGTGTTGACCATTCAAAGAAAACCTTATGTAAAAGGAGTGAAGACTGTACTTGTGAGGACAAGTTACAGATCATTGTTTAGACAAATTCAACAGCCTCCCCACTCTTGGTGGTCTCTTTGTAGACAGACTGAGGGGAAAATCCTTAGGAACAAGCAAAAAGGGAAGAGGGCATCGGGTCAGCCTGACTGAGCAGGGACGTGCAAGGCAGCTGCTGATCTGTGTGGGCTGCAGACTTTCAACCATGTGTTAAATGTAATGGCTGTATGTTTGCTTTCATTTGTGCTGTACATCTTAAAAATGTGGGATCTTCTGTATAAAGAGCCACAGTTCCTGCAATAATGTAAGCTCCTGATCTAAGCTTTAGCATCAAAGTTTTAGTTTTGTTCAAAATACAATGTGCCCATGTCCAGAGCACTGTACTCGCCCTAGTTTAGAGACTGCACTCTATTTTCCCATATTCTTCACAGCCGTCATCAATATTCTATTATAAAAATAAACACACAGAACAAGTCAACTCAAAATAAATCTGTCTTACAAATACAATGTGACATGCAACATTTTTTATAAGCTGAACCACTAGAGCGCAGCAGAGGAACACACTGAGGGTGTGAGTGGCACTCAAGCTTTCACATGATACCTGGAAGCTGAGAGCGACAGTGAGCAGCACACAGGCTCCACAGCAGATCCCAAAGCCACAGAGGAGGAGCAGCCGTCGTCCCAAGGCCTCCACGATGAACACCTATAACAAATCCCCTTTTAGGAACTATTGTCTCCTGCTGATTAAACAACAGACTTTTGACTTCAGCTCCTCCCCTCAAACGTTTCACTGTGCAGCAGTGAAGACCCCATCCAGGATTAAATAAGGAGCACAGCCCAAGTTTGCTAAAGAAAGAACTGTGTGTGTCTCATTTTTACACAGACTAAACTGCTTTATTCTTAATAATGTATGTTTTATTATTGCATAGAACTAGGGGCTTAAATTAGCTTTTATGTGTTTTTCAAATGTACCACCCCTCTCTGAGTATGCGCCCATAGAACAGGTTACCTACAGCAGCTATGGTCATGAAGACATTCACCGCTCCTGTTCCCACAGTGACATACTGGATTTGATTCTGCTCTACTCCTGCAGTGGCATATATACTATCTGCATAGTAGTAGATCTGAGGATGGAGAGAAATGCATTATGGTTAAAGAAGCAGAAGTAAAACATGAGGAGGATGCAACAGTAAATGATTCAGCAAATATTTGATGTGCTGATAGACCAACAAGAAGTTGTTATTTACATAACACACAAATTTAGTGTTACATCTGCATTAATGAATTAGATACAAGGCCAAGGGCAACTGCATGCCTCACCGCATTGACCCCTGACAACTGCTGGCCCATATTCATGATGATGATGGAGACCAGTTGCCAGCGAAGAGAACGCTGGGACAGCAGGGTGAGCACAGACAGGTGGCCCTCAGCCCTCTCTGACTGATTCTCCAGGTGCATCTCTGACATCTCTGCATCCACGTCATCCCAGCCACGTAGACGCTGTAGCGCTAAGGGTGATACAGTGTACCATAATGCACAGTTTCTATTGCTAGTTTTGATTGACCAGTGTCTCCATCTATCTCTTAACTGTTCTATTTTCCCACCTTTCTTTGCTCTCTTCTCATCTCCCCTCTGAATAAGCATGTATCTGGGGCTCTCTGGGAAGAAGGGCAGCAGCAGGAGCTCTATCAGGGCAGGAATACCAGTCAAACCCAGCATGAGAGTCCAGCCTGGATACAAGAAGGACAGATACAGTATTTTAACCAATGGACCACACTCAAAAGCTCTTTTAAGTCCCCTAAATCCATATTCAATGATGTGCTTCAACATATAACCAATAAAAGGTGTGTAACCTTTGCTACTATGGCAGCCAGTACCTGTGCTGTTGCCCAGAATGTGTCTGATGCCTAGAACTTGAGCACTGAGGATGCCAACTGTAATGAAGAGTTGTGGTACAATGCCAAGGGCTCCCCTCAGGTTTTTGGGAGAGATTTCACCCAAGTACATGGGCACCACATTGGATGAGAGACCTGCAGCCAGGAAAAGATGCATGAATGAAATCAAACAGTCTCTCCTTGTCCCTGATCCATTTAGGAGACTTGAACAGTTGACAGTAGTGTCCGACCTGCACAGATGCCCACTATAAATCTAGACACAATGATGATCTCATAAGACTTGGCAATCTCACTGACTCCCATCATCACAGCAGGGGCGATGGAGAAGATGTTGTTGAAGAGGAGGGTGCCCTTTCTGCCACGGGATCAATGCATTTAAAGTCATATTAGACGACAAGAATGCCATTATATTTTAACATACAGTATGTACTCTTAGACTGGGTATTAGATGGGGTATTACCTCCCTAGTTTGTTGACCAGAGGAGCCACCATCAGAGAGCCAAAGAAGCCTCCGAGTGGGTACATGGACACAGAAAGTGACCAGAGCAGAGTCAAGAGGTTGTCGTCCATCGGCGTGCCGTAACGCTCTAGGTAGGTGGTGTTGTAGAAATGCTGCATGAACTGAAGAGAAAAGGACACAGTACTGACATATATTCATCATCAGTAATATCTGTCTTACTGTCACTGTGTGTTACAATAAAGATTTTGAATCTTTGCTTGAGTTACCGGTGACGGAGAGTTGACTACAGCCACATTATATCCATACTGGAAGGAAGAACCAAATGCTGATATGAGCGTTGCCAGCGCCAGGACTGCAGTTAATCTCTGCGGGATGGCATTAGGGCACTCTATGAAACGTCTTTCTTTAACACAAACATCATCCATCATGATGACACTACACTGCAGGCTGTCATAGAACAGATGCAACAAGACTTCAAATGCAATGGTGGTGATAATCACACCCAGGCTGTAACTCACCCCTTTCCTCTCCACAGGCTTTGCCCATTCCTCTTTGTCTGCCATGGCTGCGTTTGGACTTGTTGTCACTTTCAGCAATAATAACAGCACACTCTGTTATTACTGCACCGCTGGATTCTGCTGCCCTTTGGACACAGGGGCAGAGAGCGTAGCGGGGGTTTACAGCTTGCTATCATTTTCATGTAGCTGAGTGTGCTTACAGGTTCAGTAGCTTTTGTATGTAATCTACTGGAGATACGAAATACTGCCCTCAGTGAATGTTGATATGTGATACTTTTATTATACAGATCCTTCAACTCAATTGGCTTAATTTAAAAGATCTACAGTTGTCATTAAAGGCTTCAGTTATGTTATCATCATAATAAAAGTCTATATTACTTATGCACCCACAGGCTGGATCACAGAAGAGCTTTTATTACAAAACGGTGACACAATGCCAAAATCACAAACAGCTGGAAAAGAGTTTAGTGTTCACCCTTGTGCAAGGAATCATCAGTTCCCACACTGAAGGCAAATCATCTCAGACTGATTACTGATAAATTTCCTGCAGAAAATCTTTGTATGTTTTCTTTGTTTACAATTTGTCACATGCTGCCTTATCTCTGTTTGCTAATACAACAGCCCTCACACTGTTTTCTCTTAGAACAGGTTCTCATTGGCTTTTGGGGTGCCTCGCTGCAAAAACAACACTAACATATATGTATATAGAAAATGCTGGTGGGAAATCACAGAGAAAAGTACAGTATCATAAAATATTATATTTAGGTGACCATTTGTTCTTGAGATTTAATTGTCAATTTGTGGTGTATATTTTGTCAAATATAGGTCGAGGGACAGTGAAAACATTAGGCGCAACAACAGAAAAACATCTGACTTCACCCTTTTATGTATGTTTTAATCCAGTATGTTCTATTAGAATGTTGTCAGTAAACCTACACCTGAAAAGCTTAGTTTTGAGTTTAAAACTACCAAAATAAGAGTCTCAGCCAGGATGGTGAAGTTGCATAAAGTGTCTTTCATTCATTTAAATACATAGAGTGGGATGACAGTGAAATTGCCATCTGGCAGTGTTTCATTGAATTTTTACTAGATTTGCAATTTTTCTACACTATTCAGTAGAATGAAAACTTGTAACATGAAATTTGTCCCAAATGATGGAGCTGAACTGCAGGAATTCTTATTAGGAGAATGCACCAAGTGCCAAGTACCAGTTGGTAGCGTCTCAGGAGATACCGCTGTTTCAAGCATTACATTTTCTTAGCTTTTGTGATATAGTACATTTAAATAGAATATGTGTAGTGGTAGCAACATTTGCTGGTAAAGCTAATTTTGTTGTTGAAAGCAGCATCATTCAAAGAAGAAGGAGAAGAAGAAAAGACATCAGATGTTAAAGTGCAAGGTGCACTAAGACTATAAGTATGGAAGCCAGCCATAAACCTCTTTCTTGTTTTTTGTTTCTTTTTGATGTTGTGGAAAAACTGTTTTGTCATTTCTAATCAATTGCAAATGCCCTTTCACAGCTCTGACCTATTGCCCTTTACCTTTTTTCAGACAATATACTTGAGTAGTGGCTCCTAGAACCACTGACTCAGTCGAATGAATGGCCTGTATTATACAACGATGACATCCATTGACTTGACTGGTGAATGGTCACCTCATGTGGTATAGTACAGCCCTGGGGGACTCATTAGCTTAATGAATTAAGTGGGAAGAGCGCCAGCAGAGAGGAGAGAGCAGAAGCCCCTTTCTCGAGCATTTCTACTGGCTCCAGTTACTCAAATGACAGCCAAACCTCTGAACAGACACAGTGGATGAATTCCTGTTGGACATATCCTAAGTGTCACTGTGCTGTTTGCCCTCTGTTGTCCTCAATGAAAGCTGTTTGCTGGCTGTTTTAGATGGCATCAGCATAAACAGCACTCACTTGGTATCCGGACATGGTATCCAGTACTGACGGTCCTGAGAGAACGACCTCTGCAGTGTCCCATTACTTTACATTAAACAGAGAAAATTCTCAAAGAAAACCGTATACTTATGCTTTTAATATTGTCAGTACAAACAGTTTCTGGTGATAATATATAGGAATTAACTGCCCTCAGAGTATATGTGTACAGTTCTGTTGGTGATTATGGGACAGTGGGCCCCTGGGTACAACATGTAAAAGACCCCCCCACACTCCTCTATGGGAGCAAAACACCCAGACTCAGAAGCACAAAATGACTACAGTAACATGCTGTGTCATTTGTATGCAGTCATTTTGTCTCTCTCTAAAGTGTTTCATTTACTTTCCTACAAGATATGTTAATAATCACTTTAAACAGAGGCTCTGGTCCAGAGACCCCCCTGACCCTTTAGGCCTGCGTCTATTCCCCTATTCCTTCCACAGTGTTGTACAACCACAGTGCCACTTCCAGAGTAGCTCCTTCAGCCCTTTTAAATATTGTCTGGAGATCCATTGAGTTTTAATGAGCCTGTCGCCGAGACGATGAGCAAATAAGATTCATTGGGAAAGGTGAGAAATTCCACCTTGTTGACAGCCCATTTTCTCTTATCCTAAAGTGATTATAGTTTGCTTGACTTTCATAGAGGGCAAATGCTTATTTAGTCTTGTATATGTGACATCAGGCTAAGTGGATTTATGGCTCTTGTATGGTCTCTGATGAATTAGCCAAAGCAGAACTGAATAATATTGTTGTAATAATCCTTTATATCACATCAGACAGACTTTTTTTTATTACACTGCAAAGGTAGGCTGCTCGCATGAGCCCTGGGTTTGTACAGTACACTCTTTGTTGGCATGTGTTTGGCCTGTAGCTAAGTCGGACAAACAAATGCTTGGGTTTCAAGGAGGAAGCATGGCATGCAACATGTCATGCTTCCTCCTTACCACAATGACAGTAGTGATGTTCAGTTAATTTTGGTGACTTGTCAAATGCATATGCAACTACTGCAAGACAAATGTCACAACTACATGTTAGGCAGCAGGTTCGACAAAGACATGAAGAGAATAAATACCTAAAATGATGAAATGAGCATCACATGAAAGTAACTCTGGTGTATGTTTTTAATGAACTGACACTGACAGAAAACTTTGCCCATATCGTCATTACATTGAAAGAGATGTAAGCAAGATTCTTGCACACAAACCTTTTGAATCCATCCAAATTCATAATGGATACACATGACAAAACGACTGTAATGTTAAAGCCACATCAAATGGGGACATTCTCACTTTGAAAGTAAGTGTCATAAAATTCATAGATACTTATCAAATCACACCAGCAGGATCACTTTCTTCTACACCATTCATCTAACACTCAGTGCTGTGTAAATTAATATTAATAACATTTTCACTGAGCATCCAGATCAACTTTTGAAATGTATATTGCAGGACAGGAAAGAGAAGTTTCTAGAGATGTTTTGATGATGTGAATTAACTCTACACATATTTGGAAATTTCTTCACAGAAAACGTTGGGTTTCTTTCAAAGTGGAAACATAGGATTCAGAGTGGATTATCACTTTTAGCTTTTTGGGTGGGTTATCATGTTAACTTCCTGTGATTGTTCAGCAACAGTAAAATAAAATGTTTCAACTAATTTACAGTACATTTATCTCCCCAAGTAAAAATACTATAAAGTTTTTTTTTTTAAACTTTACTTCATTTCAGACTTAAATTTAACCATTTCTCCCATAAATACAAGAGTTGAATACTCAATATTAAAGGATAAAGCCAGTCGTTTTCTAAATTAACGGTATTTACAACATTCCCCGTACAGACACTAAAACTTGCAATGAATTGCCTCTACTCACAGTTAATGTCTGTCAGTGTGTCAGTCCTGGATCAGTTTATTTATTTGTGCCACATACCTCTGCTGCTGTTTGAAATGATTAAAAACACATTAGTCGAACATAGCGCTTCACTGGCAACTTTATTAGGTACACCTGTACAGGTATATTCAGAGGTGTCAATCATGAGAAGCTCAGAATATTAGGAACACCTCTAAATATAATGTAGTCCAATACAAACACTATCTTTAACTAATTTATAGAGGCAGGACACTTTCACCAAAAACCTAAACATTTTGAGCTTCATAAACACAGATGTTGAGGTGGAAGTGTTGCACTGAAGTGCATACACCTGTACAGTGTGACTAATAAAGGGGCCGGTGAGCGTATTTCTTCATCAGCAAACCCCAGACCTGAACATGACCAGCTAGCGGAATGTAAATGTAGCAGAGAGCTGGAGAAAGATCTCACACATGCGCAGCTAATTCTGACTTGTATTAAACTCAGGAAACTCTGGCCGCTCAGAAACTTTGGGGCAACATATTCGGGTCTGAGATTTCATGAAAATGTCACCCAGTGCAGCGGTGTGTTTCCATAATGTGTTTTTAATCATTTTTGAACACTGACAGAGATATATCACACAGACTGACAGACATTATATGTGAACAGAAGTAATTCACTGTTGGTTTTAGACTCCGTATGGAGATTGCTGAAAATACTATTAATATATCAACGGACTCACCTTATTCTTTAACTTTACACTCATAAACTGTGAGCCCATAGAGTATATCATAAATAAAGTTAAGCCATCCTGCAGAGTGTACCACTTTTCATAACTGCAAACAGAAAATGTACAAAGAACAAATGGCACTTTAAAGATTGATGTACAGCAAACCCATACAAACCAAAAATGATGTACTGTACATGTACAGTTTGTCATCATTCAAAATACTCCACCCAATGCCAGTTTATAGTAAGGCAGCCTAATCTTAATCACCCAAAGTGCAGATGTGTGACTGTGCCTGTGACACAGATGTGCATGCACCTGCAGCCTCTCCAACCCTCTCTGCCGGCACTTGCTCCAGTGAGGTTCAGTGTGAAGTAGAGACCGTCCACCACTGCCTTTGTGTTTCACCATCTTCTGATCCACAAAGTCAAGTATCATGTGTCATCCCGGGTCCGGCCGGTGCTGTCGTCTTCTCTCTGTGTCAAGGCGTCCTCTCCTGGCAGCAGCCTGTGAGAGGGGTCATGCGAGCGCTGCACCTCTGCTCGACACTTGGAGCAGCAGCAGAGCGCGTCGGAGAGGCGTGTGCGAATTGGCTGAGTAAACAACACAAACATGATGCAGTTGGCTGCTCCCTGAGAGGTGTTGCCAATGCCCTGTTGGGTCACAACAAAAGCCTTTAAGGGGAGTTGAACAGTACTAGATTATTACAGTTGAACAAAATGTAATGAACTGTCTGGGAAGCCATTATATCATAAAGGTTTTATCATATATTTATATTTAGAGGATCCATTTATACATTTTGAAGAGTTTCTGTGCTACTTTTATATGTTCAAAAATATCAGTTAACAGGAACTTTTCATGATGAATATGTGATGATTCACAGGTGTGACAGTATGCAAACACACATCACAAGTTTAGCAGCACATAAACTAATGATAGCACACGTACATCCACACTGGTGTGTTGTCACACACACAAGATGACTCATAAACAAATAAAATCTAGAAGAAGAACCAGTATCAAGAGGAGAGGTAAAGTGTAAAGTAAAAACTGGATTAGTAGACATCCTCTAACTTGGACATTATTGGTGGAAAAGAAACTTTATCCACACTCACATGCAGAGTGACCAGCACTGGGTTCTGTCTGGCTGGAGAGTTGGCTAGCAGCAGTATGAAGCGCACTGTGCTCCAAATGCGCAGGATGATGAAGATGATGGGAATGAGCGTTAGCTTCACATCAGCCATGAAGGAGGAAGAGTGGGACAAAGGCCTGTTGGCCAAAATGGGACGGTACTCCGACAGGGCGGCATGCTGTGTCAGACAGAGGACACAGGGTAAGACCGGATTTTATAATAGTAGGAAAAAAATCTAACATTTAAAGTCTGAAACAGAAAAATAGAAAATAAAAATAGCAGATCATTTTTTTCACAACATGGATACTGTCTGAGGCAGACATGTTGCTGAGGGAGAGGAAAATGACAACAAATAACTGCCACTGCCAAGGAGGCTGAGTTACTGATGTGTGTTTTAATGTTCTCTTTGTTTGCTTGATATCTTCAAAAACACATCAATAGCCATAAATACCATTGAGAGGCCATGGGTCAATTAACAACTTAGATTTTTGTGGGAACCAGAGAATTGTTTTAGTACTACAGCTACTTGACATTTAACAATCCAAAAGGAATGTGTAGCTATGGCTGGTGGATGTTTGCTCCAAGTGCTGTTTAGTTTTAACTTCGTGTACTGTATAATATATGTATTAATTTGCAGTGAATGTACTCTGCAGTTACATAAAATAACTTAGAGGTAGAAAATGGTTTGTTCCTCACAGCTTTGTGGATGTGTCTCTTGATCAGGATGTAGAGGACAGGGAGAGTGATATAGGCCAGGAACTCCCAAATCTTTCCAGTCAGCAGCATCCACAGGACCTTGTCAGGAGCGTCGATCCTGACCCAGCACCAGCCCACCGACACCTCTGATGCATCATAGCCAATCTTGTTGAGGCACACAGCTGTAACAGTGATGACCAGAGGAACACCCCAGCTAGACAAAACAGGGTTTAGAGGATTGACCGTAACTGCCTCAAAGGTCACCTCCCTACTTTTAAATGTGCATTACTGAAGATTTCACACACTGTGTGATAAACCAAATGAAAATGAGACAGGACATGGTGCCATGGCTCTCTGCTACCTGCAGCCCTTTTGCTATTATTCTAGTTTTTCTAGTGTGTTGTCAAAACACAGCCCATAAATCTGCCCCTCCCACCACCTAAGGAAAAACAACATAAAAATGTATGTATAATCATATTAACTGTAAGCAGGGGTGCAGTCCAGAAAGATTAAACTAGATGAGAAAAGCTTGACTCAAAATGAGAGAGTAGAGTGCAGTTTACATGGACTAATGTGTGTTTGCCACTACATTTCATTGGAGACTAGTCATTTATATTTTGCATTGCACTAATTTTCATTCTCCTGTTTATTCCAGAGCATTCAATTTTAATTTTACCATCTCTTTTATTTCACCCTTTTAAAATACTATTAGTTTTTTGTTTTATTGCCCTATGTTTCCTTTATATCTGGTCTCAATGCCCTTTTTACTATACAATGCAATGTTCTTTGAATTGCTTTGTTGTTGAAAGAAGTTGTACATATGAATTTTTTTTTCCTTAATTAAAACCAAGTTTAGATTATTTAACAAACACAGCTCATCTAACAGGACTATTCACGCCTAGTTTATACAGCTGAGGTCATTTTGTCATATTTGACCAGAGTGGAATTTTACTTTATCTCTAAAATGCTGTGGTGGGGACCTTGGAGAGTCTGGATTGTATGTATCGTTGTCTGACATGTAAAAGTCCCCTATGTTTCCTACACTTCAAGGAGCAAGACTCACAGACTGAGCAACCACATGATTTGTAGTCAGTTTGTCTTTCTGTGGTTATGTCCCTTTATAGTTATTTTGCATCTGGTTTCAGCCATTTTGTGTTAGCTTTTACTGATTTTGCATCTTTTTATAGTCATGTAGCACCTATTCTTACTAATTTTGTCTTTTGTTTTGTTGCTCTGCATCTCTTTTTAGTCGCTTTGCATGTCTCTTTAGTGGTTTTGAATATCTTTGTACTTGTTTTGCTTCTATTTTTTTTTCTCTTTTGTTTGTTTTTTTTAAATAACTTTTCATTTGATTCCATGCCTTCCAGTGGAAAGGTTAACACCCCCATCACAGTTCTCTGGTCTTGGGGCCCACTGACCGTCCCCTTGGGCCCCTGGGTCTGCTCCCGGTCCATCCACCCATATAGCAATTCCATGTGGGCATTAGTTGCTTTATGGACACATGGGGAAAGTCAGTTATTCCTGGAATAGACCATTTTCTGTGAAGCCTGAACATAAAGTCTTGGATTCAGCTGATGCCTTTTAATGCCCTCCTAAGAGTGTTACCATGGAAACCTAGCTCTTTGCTGCAGTAGCCTGTTTGCCTAACTTTGTAGTCTTAAATGTTTTACTTTTGTCTACTAGCACACTTAACCGCTTTCACGCACAAACCAAGCTGAACCCAGCTCCTGCAGTGTGGTTTAGGCTCTTTTTATTGTAAATTCTGAACAGATAACGGAAAATAGCTTATTGAGGCTGTATTTAAATGAGCTATTTTTATATTATTAGTATTAGTCTTTGAGCAAACTTCAACGTAACGCAAACATTAAACTGAAGCTCATTAAGCTCATGTACGCCGTTTTCCAGGTTAATGAAGCTGTTTAAAAAGGTTAAGATGTAGCTAGCCTACATAAACTTTACTTAACCGTTAGCCCAGACTTGGCCAACTGACTATAGCTTAGCAGAAACAACAAGTAGGAGTTCAACTACTTACCTGACAAGGTGGAAACTCAAAACCAGGCTGTCAGCGACTCTTTGGCTGGACCTCACGATAAAAACATACAAGTAAACGGCAATGGCCACGGTCCAGAAAAAAGAGCTGGTGTTGGCAAAAGTGGATATCGCTCCTTGGGCGACGCAGTCCGGCGAGTCGGCGTGGAAAACTTTCCAAACCCCAAAGGCGTAGGAGACGGCGGACAGCCAGTCTGACACCGAGAGGTAGACCAGCAGCTTCCGCGGGGTCGTCCTCAAGTCTGGCCAAATAATGTAAGTGAGGATAATCAGAGAAGAGCCCAGGAACGACAGCGCGCACGAAAACAGCACGACCACCTGTTCAGACAAGTAAACAACTGTGTGATTTCCGTCTGCCATCGTTTAGTGCGGCTATGAGCCACAGATGATCGTGGATACGGCTCAAACGCGCTACAGTGTTTGCAAAAAGGCTTCCGACCAGCAGACTAGTCCATCATGTTGTTCGTTTTAGATATTACCTCTTCGCGTTATTATCCCCGAAAGCCAAATGACATTTAAAACACCGAGTCAAGCCCGTGGAGCCGCATGACTTACTAAAAACTTCCTCCATTGCTTTTAAGGGAACCAGACTAAACTTTTCTTCCAGGATTTAACCGCTTCCCTTTCGCTTCTCACGAACGCGAACCCAGAGCAGAAGTTAGTCAGCTGGTAACGGGCAAACTCACGCGCGTCTGCTTACTGTATGTTCACGCGCGTGTGCGGCTATTGCTTCATAAATTATACTACCATGCTTCCTGTCATTTGAAGCATTTAAAACATTGAGCAATATTCAGATCGAATAAGTTTCTTATGGAATACTACATCTAATATTTTAAAATATCATCACTGTAAGCTAAGATAGTAAAATGCCAAAAGAATAACTTCAGTGCATATTTGCACAAGGCCCAGAGCTAATAAAATTTCAAAAAGATATCTAAAGACAAGTGGAAACCACTATAGAGACACAAGGATCAGTAAAATATTGTAATAATACTCTGTTCAGGAAAATCCTAACAACAGAATTGTGGGCTTTCAACAGGAAAGAGATTATTATGTACATAAATCAGTACTACATTATTAGTCCATTGATACTGCAACTAACAAATATTTTCATTATTTAATTTTATATTTTTATTCATTGAACAAAGTGTTGTTCAATAAAATCTTGCAAATGTGTGGGGAAAATGCCCATTAATATTTTTCAGGACCCAAGTTCTGCTTGTTTTATTCAACCAATACTCCAGAATCTCATGGTATTAAATTCACAATTACTGGATATAAAAAAGAAATGTGGCAGAATGAAGACCTGGAGTTAGTGAGTGATTGTCTTTTTTCACTAAATGTCTGTCACTATTAGATTATCAAAATTGCTGTCAATTCATTTTTTTGTTCATTGAAGAATCCGTTTTTAAAAAAATGTATTTAATTTAGCAACCTCTTTTTCCAGGGAGCCCTGGCAATTACCTAATCATTTTAGCACTAACTAACTTATTGTATTGTCAACATTACGGTCTTCCACAGAACATATATTCCCCAGCTGTACAGATGAAACAATAGCACATAGTTTGATTTTGAAAAAGCCGTTCACAGCGGCATACTGTATTACCCACTGTAGGACTGAGATGGTCACCCTCAGTGAACAGGGTCCGTCTCAGCATTCTGAGCTAACAAAGGAATTTTTAAATAGAAAACACATTTAATTAAAGTTTTCAGGTTATGGTTGCCTTTTCCCTCTAAATAAATTTCCTTGCTGTCACACAGTTCACTGGGCTCCCAAGCTGCTAGTAATAAAGTAGCATTTGTGTCATTTTTGAGCAATGAGTTTACCTGCTGCGCTTTGTCTCAAGCAGCTGTGAAATCTGGTGGCCTTGTAATTGAGGTTTCCCAGAGAGGTGAGGAGTGGGCAGATTTGAAGCCATAAATCAGTGACCTTGTGTAAGAGCAGGATTTTACTGCTTCTGCATTGCTGCAGCCCAGAAAAACTGCAGCCCCTTGTTGTGTTTGCAGCAATGCAGTGGCACGGTTGTACCTGCACACTGCAGCAAACACAACTGCATTTATCACACGTGACCAACGAACAGTTTTACAGTACAGAAGAATTAGATGAAATGTTATATTTTGTGATTTTGTAGTCAGAAACAGAGTCGGGGCACACCAAACATTCAACTGTTTCTATGTTTGCTATGTGTCTGTGAAGACCTAAACTAGTGTTCACATGACATCCAGGCCATTCTGGCTCATCTGCACTCATTAGGTCTACTATGTTTGCATGGAAGCATCAGTTTTTAAAGCTTCTCAGAGTGCTTTTACACAATGCAAAGTAGTTTATACAGTTTTCCATACTGTGAGAACAAATAAGGAAAAGTAATAAATGCTTCTTTATGTAACTTTTATTTACTTTCCCCCCATAGTTCTAATTTATGACATGAAGAAATTATAGGCTGCAACAGATAAATTAGGTATTGACCATTCATTATTATTAGCAGCTGGAGAAAATACCCTAAATTCATTAACTAAACAAAATGTGCAAACAAAGACAACATGCATTTGCAACTGAAAAATGAAGAATCTGAAGTCATAGCAAACCAAGCCATATTTTGCTAATGAAAGAGATTTTAGGCTATCTGAAGAAAAACAATATATAATGTCAGTTTTACACAGTGCTGCAGTGTTTGTTGAACAAACGCATGCAGGGAGGTTGTTTTCCGTCACAAGATGGCAGCAGAGGATCTTAAAGGAACAATATACAGTGTAGAAGTTTGATGCTCTGATCCAATTGTAAATATTGTAGAGGTAGTAAACAGAAAAGCCATGCTCTCAGTTGATCTATCCTCAATTAACTCTGTATCAGGTCCTCAGCTCTGGTTAATTTCTACAGTGTCAGCACACATGAAAACCTACAGTAGCAGCAGGATCCTTGTTTGCTGATTCAAGTTTTTCCTCCCTCTCCTTGTTCTCCTCGTTACGGATCTGATTCCGGGGCCTCTTATTGCGAAGAATTTCTGCGGCAGTATACTTGCTGATTGCTTCGTTCTCACTCCTCACAACAACCAGCTAAGACACTGCCAGAGAAACACCCACAGCAGCCGCTTCCATCCGACCGGCCGTCCCTCTGCCTGCCTCACCCCCAGCAGGATCCTGACTGATATTTGCCATGTGGGTTCATCACTACGGACACTCTCGCTTTTCATGCCCAGCTCTTTGGTGGTGGTTGTTGGAAGGCAACAGTCTCACACTAAAAGCCCATGGGGGTGGTGTGGTCCTACGCCAACAGCTGGGAGCTCTATGAGAGAAGTAAGAAATAACAGTTGAGTAACAGTTGTTTTATGGAAACTTAACCTGACCAGATAAATCTCCATGTAAAGGTAAATGTTAGAAAGCTGCCTTCCTCGGTTTTATATAACTATGATGCATTGATGAGTGTACGCTCTGTTGCCCAAAGTGACCCGAAGCTTGTTCCCAAACAGATTTTTGATACTCTTCTAGCCTTTTATGCAGCATCACTTTAAGTGCACACAACTTAAGCAAACACAAACACCCCCAAACTAAGAATAGACTTGCCATGACTCATGATTTTGCAACAAAAAGCTCAGTTCGATTTAGCTCTCATCTGTTTATGTGTGTGTGTCTGTCCATGAGTGCCATATAATCCGAGTCCCTGTGTGTTTGTGTACCTAAGGGACAACAACTGAAATCCCCTTGCTGTCAGTTGCTTTTGCTCACTGCAGTGCTATTTTGGGCCAGCTGACCATTCCATGTTGTCCTCTCTCTGTGGACTCTGCTTCGCTGACAGGGCAGCAGGGATACTAGAGAGTGATCTGCAGTCACCGGCAAATAGGGGAAGAGAAGGAATTATGAAGGAGATGGATAGATGTCAGGAGGAAGACTTGGAAAACATATGGTTGAATGGTTTACTGTTGAATTCTGCAGCAAGGGTATTTGTAGCCCTCCATATCTACTTGTATGTATTTTATGACACATTTTTTACTGGAAATTCCTCACTTGGTTGGTGGTTGGAGCATTTTGACCTTAACTGATGTCAAAGAAAGGCTTGAAATACAAGTGAGATATAAGTGATAAGTGACTCCTCTTGACCTGCTCTGTGTCTTTGTTCACAGAGCACATGATAACAGAAGCTCCTTCCTGCTCAGGGTTTGATGTCATCTCTAATAAATGACTGAGTAATGCCAGAGAAAACAACACCCAGTTTGCTAAATGCTGTTTCACACAGAAAACAGCAGCGGTAAGAGCAGCAGCGAGCCTCCACCCTCAAACCTGTCCACAGGCCTCGGGCTGGATTCAGCGTCACTGACAGATTTTGTCTTCCTAATTCTGTATTATTGGCCAAACAAAAAAGGGTTGTGAGAAAAGTGTGCTCATTAGTGTGAGGTCTGGATGAATGTTGCACCAGTTATTTTAGCAGGAGACACAGAAGAACATATTTTCTGATTTTCCAGATTAAATACACTTTCATTTACACACTACTCTTTGCTTACACTAATGTGATATAGCTATGCATATAACAGGAGCTTGCATTGGATTACTTACATATGTCCTAAAAACAGGCAATATTTATCACCAAGTGTGATGAATAAAGTGTTATTACTGGCATAAATATGAGTGAGAACTAATGAGAAATCCAGATGAAACAACCTGATCACTGGTGCAAACTGTTATTTTTATTAGCCAGGGTTCTGTCAGTTATTTTCTAATTAACTGTCTGGCCTAAAATCTCAGAAAATAATGAAAATGGTATTTCGACATCTTCACATGTCTCATTTTGTTCCACCAACAGTCCAAAACCAAATAAAAGAATTGCTTTTGTTTATGTAATACAAAAGGAAAATCCTCACAAGTGAAAGGCTGGAACTTCTGTAGGAGGTGTTTGATATTTCTGCTCGGGAAATGACTTTAACAATGAACTGATCATCACAATAGTTGCTAATTAGTTTTCTGTTGATCGACAAATCAAATAGTCACCTATTTACAGCATACTATAGTTTTTCAAACGTGTCTGAAAACTCATTTATTTTCTATGGCTTTTGACACAAAGCAATTTTGTGCGCTGTGGGACTTATCTTATGGTGTTTTCTCCTTCTAGTGATCATTATATGACCTGCCCTCTCTGACAGTGCTATGTGTAGTCTTGTATATGCTGGGTTAGTCTTAATGTTTGTTGTGTGTTCTGTTGTCCGGATGTGTTATGCTATATAATTTCAGTCTTGCATTTTGTTATTGTAACTTTGTAGTGCCTGTTTTTAAAAAGTGCTGTACATATATACGAATGCTATTGCTATTGTGTATTTGATAGCTGAAGTTATACTTGAGAGATTCTGAATAAATAATCTTTGGTGACAGGTACAGTTTACTTTGTTTGATACCAAAAACGGTACCAACTATTCTTTACCTCGTCTTTGAGCTAATATAGCCTTTTTTCTTCATTTAAATTATACATCAGTTTTGGTTTTTAAATTATTTATACATTTCCATTATTTTATTAGCCAAAGCTCTTGTTTTTATTGGACACTAATGGATTTTAAAAGGTTGGTTTTTCTTTGTTAGATGATACATGACTAGCAAGAGAGCAAAGCAAAAAAGTATCATTTTAGTAACAGTACTGAGCAGGCATCTTACTGGTACCAGTGTCAAAGACCCTTTAATTTAGTCTCTAGTCAAAACCACGTACAGCGTATGCATACTCTGCAGTAGCTAACTTTCACATTTTTCATCCAGATTAATTAGAGTATACACAATACACAGTGTTTGTTACAGAGTGGCATTTGTTTAACGACTCATGGGACATGTTTAACCTACAGGCAGCAGTTTCCCCCAGCAAAAATCTAAATTCCCATCATATCACCAAAGCACAGACACATACAGATACACACCAAACCTACACCCACCTACACTTCCTGCATGTGCTGGAACCTTCTGTTGTCAGGTGTCAGATGGTAAACAATGCAACTCACCCAGCTACCCAACATCACCGACCCCTGTGTACGTGCATGTCTTAGTTGTTCCAGTGTCAGCTAACAGCGCTCAAACAGTCATGCTTCCCTGCTCCAGTCCCGGTCCACAGACATAATCATCTTATGGCTCACAGTGACATTTGTATTTACTGTAGAGCCATGTTTCTGAACAATGATACACTCGGTGCACACACACACACACACACACACACACACACACTGATGGCATGCCTGGAGCTGGAGCTTAGCCTCTCATTAGGTTTATGTAGCACAAGTATGTATATTGATTTTGATTTTTAGATTTTTCAATTCAAATAAACAAGTCAGAACTACAACTGGATGCTTTTTAAGCTGTTAGAAAACAATTAGAAGTAATAAAACCCAAGCAATGGTTTTATTTCTTTTTCTTTTTCACTTTTAAAAACATTTTTGAGGTCTGAATCGGTTTCACCAGTATTCACCTATCACCCCCGTATGTCAAACTGCAGTCAAGCTGTTAATAATTCAGTGGTTGTGACTCTGACACACAGTGCACACTACCCCTGGTTACAAGAAACAGAGTTGCCTCAGTAACTATCTGCTTACACACAGGTAGAATACACAAATCATAGTCTGGTGGCCACTAAATGATTATCACTGGAGTCACTGGAGTGATTAATGTATTTGTATTTTGACAGGCCCATACGAGCTTTTACTGTAGAGCTAATCAGGAACATGCTACGATGAACGGACAGTCTGGTGCAGTTAAGGCTGTATTTGTCTGATTTTCTATGTGTAGTGTGTGTAATCTAATAACTTGTTTGAATTTTCTGTCACACAAGCAGGGACTCTGATCAGCTCTATCTCCTTCCTGTATTTAACCACATATAAATCAGCTGTGACAAATGAGGAACTCTTTATCTGTCACTCGTCTTGGCTTCTCAGGAAGTAGAGGCAGCATGCCGGGTCTCCTGAACGGAGGAGAAAACAATATCAAAAGCAGCTTTACCTCTCTGTGGGGATCAGGCTCTGGTCTGACAATGATCGTCAAGTGCCAGTGGGCTTGTGAAAGGGTCAATGGTGGCGTTTTGTCTGCGCAGAGGTTACTGTGCTGCTGTGAAATTGGGTGTATCCCACTTCTCTGCAGTCAGTAATCTTTTGTATCATTACCATGGCATCATGTTAGCATCAAACCTTGGTGTGGACGCTTTCACAATGCTGTGAGCTGTACACTTCAAATGAACATCTACTTCAATCAACTCACAAGCCTTATTAAGCTGATCTGAAGGCCTTGTTTTTGCACTATTTGATTCAGTGAAGTTTTACTGCTGTGCTCCTCGTTGCAAGAACAATTAAACCAGACATTCACAGAAGCTTTGCAATGTTATGCCAGACTTTTATTCACACACAGTCTTCACACTCACCAAGCAGCCAGGCAGCAGTGGAGCTCCTCCATTCACGCTTGTCTCCAGTGAGTGCAGCAGGAGTCTGTCTGTAGGTGCTGCAGGCCTCTCGCAATGTGTGGGTCACTTCACACTGGTAAGCTGCTGACCATGACCCTCCTCTCTCTCTGTCCCTCCTTTTGTGTGTGGGGCTTTCTCGCTTTCTCTCTCTGCTTCACCAAGGCAGCACAACAAGTCAAGGCATGTTCCAACACACCACCGACAGCCGGACTGTGTGTATGAGCCTGCTCCTAGACCAGAGGGGGAGGAGCAGAGGATCAGAGAGGGGGGAAACCCAGAAAAGACCCAGCATGACTCAGCCTGCTTCAGTAAATACACAGCTTTCACTTTTGAACACTCTCAGCAAACAAAGGATTTACATGAACTTTGATTCTCTGTTTGACAGTTATGTAGATTACTTTAGTGATGTGAGGGATGACAGCAATTGACTGAAAAAGTGTGAAAAAAGTGACATGTCAGGTTATCTTTGTTATGTCATAGATCATAAGGAAATCCAGTTTGCCTGCAGGCGGTGACTTCTTTTTTCTCTCCATCCTCTGTTCCCAGATGGTGGAAGCAGTTCACAGTGTTGTCTGTTTTTCCTGGCTAATACTAATGCTTCCATTTTTACTGATGACAGCTAAATGTTTTAATTTCAGCTACACTATTTAATACTCATTCATGCTTATTAGAAAGTAGTCCTATTGAATTTTCACACAGCAGAATGAATAGTTTATAGAAGCTGTAACCAAACACCAGCACAGCATACTAATGAAAGCTGCTGATTCATCAGATCATCAGATGTGATGAAAGATCATCTTATATGATGAAGTGTAGCCGTTTTGTGACCGTCTTATGAAATGCATAGACAATGATATGGAACACATTTTCCTGGAACACTACAATATAAACATATTGCATGCTGTTTAGCTGCTGACACATTAAACTGCATCAAATGTGCAGAATCATCACCATCATCCATGAGTGCTAATTATGCAGAGCTGCTTTGGTGCTGGCTGCCCTTTTTTTTTCTTCCAGTTTTTACACTAGAGGAGGGGTGATGCTAGTTCATCACTGTTGTAGTGGAAGTTGATCACTAGGCAGATTCTGGGTGCAGTGGCAGGAACCAGCTCAGCAAAACTCACCTGCTACAATATGGCCTGAGTCTGGCTGCCTGAGCATCTCTAAAGCACCGTACTGTACATCACTGGTGCTGATCACCACTGCAACGCACTGATGACCTTATCAATGAAAGAGCAAAGTCACTATGATGTTGCACCCAGAAAGGATTCAAAGCACTGTTTTGACTTTTCCCCAATGACAGCAAACAGAGAGTCAAAGCAAATCTGTAAAACTGTATTTGTCTGCAGATATAGTTGCTTGAATTTACTAGAATCGGTGATGCAGCACTACACAGCACGGCAGTGTTCTGACAAAGTGCCAGCAGTAGTTTCACCACCTGAGTTGGTTCTTAATTTATGGAAGCAAGAACTGTTTTCACAAGAGGAAAATTTGAACAATCACTGAGCTAACCACTCACAGGAAGCTGTTTTCTGCACTTCAATAACCAAGTCAACGCAAAAAACTATTTTTTATCATCTTCCTACCTGGGATACAGGCCGCAGCTGAGAACCAACACTTGCATCTGTGTCAGTCAGGGGGGAAGGAACCCCTGGCCCAGCAAGTTCAAAGCTTGCTGCATTGATTACATCATCGGAACTGGAATGCTGGGACGGGACAATGCACCACCGGGGGTGTGGGGTGGAAGGGGAGGGGGGGACAACTGGCTAATCTCACCATCGCCTCCCTGTGGAGCTCCATGGGAGAGTGTGGCCATTTGTGTATGTGTTTCTTTGTCTTTCTCTGCATCTAAACTCAGCTTCATCCGGTCCAGAGTGAGATGGGCTGCTTTCCCTCTCATTACCACCACTATGTCATGCGAGTAAAGGACTGTCTATGTATGAGAGAGAATGATCCCCATGTTTCTGTGTGTGTGTGTGAGTGTGGATGAGTGCTATTAGAGGCCAGCACTGCAGGAGCACAGCTGCTGTAGGACACTGCAGGGTTGCTGTTCTGTTGCTCGCTCACGGGCTTTCTCCTCTCTCATTTGCTTTCTCTCCTCTCTATATTCATTCAGGCAAATTGCACAAGGATGATGGTGAAAGCATGTGCTGCATACTTTTTCAGGAGGGAGGAGGGGTGAGTTGGGGGGGCACAGAATCAGAGAGGTGCAAAGCATGCTGGTGAGGCACTGTGCTGTGCAACTACACCTCAGAGAGAGACTACAGTATAGAGAAACTGGAAAGGAGGAGGAGGGAAGAAAAAAGTAGGGGCGGGGGCAGAAGTGAGGTGCAAGGAAGATCAGGTGAGTGTGGCAGTTTCCTTTTGCCGGCAGTGCAGCACCCACCCTCAGCGAAAGTGTGAGCAGGAGAACTGCAGATGTTTGGAGATGATGTCAGGGTCCGGATGTGGTGCGGACCTTCAGTATAGATTGTTATCACTGTGCTCCCTCACACTGGCCTGCCTGTGGTGTGGAGGAATCCAAAGGCCAGGGAGATGCTCTGGAGTGCCTCACAAAGAGGCAGCTTATGACACAGGGCCGGCGTTTTCAAGGTCTTAGCACAGTTACCTGGAGTGAACTCGGAGGTGACTGAGTCTGTATGTGGGTGAACTGGCCTGGCTGGATGGTGGACAGACCCGTTTGGATACTGACTCACTTTTATATGACGTATTTCCCTCACAAACTAGTTTTCCATGGCCTTTGAAAAGGCTTGGAGTTGAGCGCAGACACTGCATTATAGCATAAAATACAAAAACAGCAAAACTGACTTCTAGAGCAGCGAGCTGCTCAGATACTGGTGCTGTGATGATATGAAGTGTAAGAATGGTTCTGCTCTGAGAGGCATTTTCATTTCTGTTTTTGCCAAATCAACCTTCTCAAAATGCCTACACCAGTGGCTGAATGATCTCACTTTCACAGTGTTTGTGCTAAACTCTCCAAAGAGAACTTAATAGGATGGCAGCAAAGCCCTAGTTGCTAAAGCACAACTTCATGACTGCACCACAGCTCCCCTGTCCTATGCAGGCCACTGTAGCCACATTCCCATTTCAGCAGCAGCAGGACCACTGATACATCAGATCCTTTTTACCAGTTTCCAGCATCATATTCACAGCATGCAATTAAATATACAGTAAACCCACAACTAGCAGAGCAAAGTGGAGATGTTGGACTATTTGTACTCTAAAAACTGTCTCCTCTATTGAAGGAAACTCTTTGAACCCAGGTTAGTTTTTTGCCCTTGTGTCCAAAGAGCTACTCCTCTCAAACAGCCGATATCTGACACGCCGGCTGCTATTTCCAGCCTGTACCATGTGTTAAACATGGATGAGGGAGCAGTAGAGCCAGACTGCTAAATGACTGGCTGTCTGGCCGGCTGCTGCCTAGTTATTGCTGGTGCAGAGGAAGCTAAATGATGAGACAGAATCAGCCAGGAGCTTCAACATCGCAGGCATGCACACCAACATATCAACTCCTGCAAGGCTAATTTAAGAAGTATGCTATCCTTTACAAAGAGGTAGACATATAAGAAACCAACATACAAGGTAAAAGAGACTACAGAGGAAATAAATGTATACCTACAGATGAGTCCGCATCACTAACAGGGAGAACTTCTCTGCACTCACTCTGAGCCTCTTGGTTGCTGGTGATGTGCTTTCATGGCGCGACAAAGTTGACTGCAGCATTGCCTCCTGAACGGAATGACATTGTTTGCACTCACTCTCTCCCTCACTCATCCTCCTCCTGTACGCGCTTGCTCCCCCTCCTCTTCTTTGCACGCTTGCTGGCAGCATAAACTGCACAGCTCAGCAGTGTTCCCCCACTGCCGCAGCAGATCCTACATGAGCTCTGCGTATCTGAGTGGGATGGGACTTTTAAAGGGGAATGCAACCTCCAGGGTCAGTGTGTCTGCACATCCTCAGTCCGTCCTCCTCTGATGCCTGTCCTCCTTAGTGACCCCCCCATCCTAAAACCCTTTTGTCCAGATATGAATTGTAAAATAAAACCACTTCATTCAAAAATCTGACACTGTGTCAAGACCATGTCACCACTTTTAAGTGGAAATAAAAAGGTGTTTGGCAATATCTAATAATACAGTTTTTAAAAACTGGTTGATGTATTAGATTGGTAAGCAATAGTTAGGATTAATATTTCAACCAAGACTGTCAGCAAAGCACACCACACAAGGTATACCACAGGATTAGTGTCACCACATTTTGGGACAAATGAACAATAATCATGCAATCACTACGTGAACGCCGCTATGAATAAGGTGCCATCTCAAACCTTACTCAAAGTTTCACAGATCTCATGGGCACAGTGAAGTAAAATGCCTTTAATCTGCAATCCCTGTTACCTATCTTTCATTACCCAAGATGCACTGCTCCATATTCTATTCTGCAGTGCGCTAAAATATAGAAATATCTTGACCAACCAAGTTTGTCTTTTGTGCGTTGCACAACTCTGTGAGAGTGCGATCATCCATCATTTAGTCAGCCAATAAGGTTGAACTTCTCTTTCTGCAAAGTCTTTACTTAACAACAATTCACTCGGTGGTACAGTTCCAAGCTTCCCCTGATGACATTTGCAGTGCACTGCACAGGCTTTGTGTGGGTAGTGGTGACTTCATTATAAATTCTGCATGTTTGAGGCATCAGCACCTCAACTGGTCTCTGCAGCAGCAGTGCAGCGCTCTCTGGTTCTCACTGTAGGAGCGAGGCACTTTTTTCCTCTTTGTCATGACTCTGTGTTGCCTGAGTCTTCAGTTGAGCCTTGTGGTCCTTCGTCCTCTGGTGTAAAATCAGGAGCTGCATGAATCCCATATTAACCCAGCATCCATCAAGTCTAGGTGGACACTTACCCACTGTAATCATTTTATAGTTTGTGTATTAAATTTAAGGCTTTTCTCCCCCAATTAGCTTGTACCTCTGCCCTTATAAAATATGCCAGTACTTGAGCTACTTGAGGCTGTCCATATGTCATTCATCATCTGAGAGCAAAGCATCTTTTCGTGCATGATTTGAATGCAGCGCTGCTGCTGCATTAGTCTGCTGAGACTTGCAGCATCTGTCCTCTCCTCTGTACTTCACAACACCAGGGAAAATGCCCCCACCCCACCCTCTCAGACAGTCCATGCCATTCTAAGTAATGGCATCCCCTATGATGAATAAGCCATAAGGAGGGGGCCTTTTACATGTCCTATTAAATTACCTTGCTGTGCTTTACCTGGCTACTGTCACCTCCTCTCCTCTGGTTCTGCACTCTCCCAGCCAAGGGCAGAATATGTAAATGTGTATAAAAGCTCATAAATGATACCAGCATAAAGATCTCACCCATGTATACGAATCACATGAAGGTCAGTGAAAACTGCCTTATTGTTAACAATTTGATAGGAAGTAATTAAATAAAGAATTGAGAGTTTTTGTGCCTGGTGTCATAACTGGTCATCAGCTTATGTCTTATCAGGGGTGTGATGTAACAAACTGATATATTGTAATCTGAGGGAAAAAATGTTATCTGCAAAGTATGGAGAGTCAAACACGCAGATAATAGAGTGGAGTTTAACCACTGATTAATGAGTTTGTCTTTTTTTGCCATTCACAGCCCATTCTTTGGCTTCATTGATTTGTCTGGAAAAGATAATAGACACATTGATTCACAGGCTCAGCAGCTTGCTTGGTTTACACATCAGTTCAGATGAATTCTCAACAGTCCTCAGTCAAGGAAGAGAATTGCCTTGACTGACAGCTGATTCTAGAGACTTTGAAACTAGATTTAAAAGTCGTGCTGTGAAGATTTTCTCTGCCTTTTGGGTTTACAGCAGTGCAAAATTTATTTATGAAAATTGAACAAGATGGAAACAAGGATTTCAGTGAACATAGGTGATTAGATGGTTGTAGTTATAAGGTATAATTTCGAGGGAAACCTGACATTGTTGATGAAAACTAGACTTCACAAGGATGTACTTGAGGCTAGCAATAAATTAACTTCACAAAATCCTTCTGCTTTGTTTAGTCAGTCTCACTGCACCAGTACTTTATTTAGTAAAGCAGAGCAGATTCCTCAAAAGGCCAAGTGGAGTGAAACAGACACACTGTCAGCGACACAATGGTCAGATGTGGCCGTACAACAATGACTGTCAGCACGCAGAAGTAGAAACATTATAAGTTCACAAAAGGTGAAGTGGTCAGGCTATTTTTTATGTCAGTGACATGACTCTGTGTTGGACATCCACTTTTCTATTTGATCAAAGAATCGCTCACATTACTCACTGTGCTATTAAAGATCCTGCTCTGAAAAGCAGAGCTCACCATATGAAAAATACAAGTGCAAGTAGTCATCAATTTCTGCTTCAGTATGAGAGAGAGAGTAGTAAGAAGTCTATGATGGATGGAGATTAGGGTGAGAAGCTGAACTTTTGACAGCTGGTTGCTCTGTTGTGGTGAATAAGCAGCGACTTTGTCAGTTGTCAGTGTCAGCAGCAGCAGATTGTCTGCTCTCTACAGCTGTACTGTAGTAAAGCATAAGGCACAGATTAGCTAAGGGAGGCTGCAGCCCAGGAGTTCTGATCAGGACTTCATACACCTGTAATATACATTTCAAGCATCTGCATGTAATATTTTAAGATAGAATAGACAGAATAGATCAATACATTTGTTTGTCATCAACAGGGGCAGATCTAGAAAATTTTGGATGGGGTTGCCAGGCTAGGACCTAGACTCAGAGAGGGGTGGCACGTTTGAAATACATGTAAAAAGCAAATTAAACCCCTACTAGTAAGACAGACAACATCTTCGTGTTTAATAGAAAACATGAATATTAGTCGAAGCCTTATTCTACTGAATATACTGTCCAGTATTTTTAATCCACTGTTTTCATCTGCAGAAGTGGCTTGTTATTTTGGTCTTTTCCCCTGCTGCACTGTTCTGCATTACAGGATCTTAGAAGAGTGTTGCATATCCCCCACAACAGCTCATGTCTCATGGAGATGTGTGTTGACTCCTGGCCTACATTCACTAGTGCCATTTGTTACCATCAAAAACAGGTATAGCAAAACTGGGACAGAGATAGCTAATGTATACTCAACAATGGCCCATTAATATCTGTGTCTGCCTGTGAAGAGATTTCTGACATATCTGACATAAAGAACTCAGAAATGGAGAAGTCTGCTGCCTAATGAGAGAGTCCTAAACTGGAGGAGCACATATTCAGAGGTAGCGTGAAAAAATGAACGTTTCCTTAACTGATGTATTAGGATGATTCAGGGATGCATGTCCAGTAGATGTCCAATAATGTCTCTAATTTGTTTTTTGTTTCATTTATAAGATCCCAAAGTAATACAATACATCTTTTCTATTACATTGCATTACTACCACATCTCCAGTTTTCGTTTGTGAAGTATTGCATACCTTTACGTTAACTGTGATACACATTCAACAACTCAAAAAATTGGATTGGTACATCCCTAGAGTGAGTTTTTGAAATGTATTCATGACCTAATTTCAAGCCAGCTATATTTTTTTAAATCGTTTTAATGTAGATGTTATCAATTCATTTCTGACCATACTTTGTTCTGCCAACCAGGAAGGTGTTATGACTGTTTATTTCTATTCTGGATGAGGCCCCCCCACTGACCTAATGGACACACACTTTCCAGCCAAGGGAGGCTCACCTGCATTAGGGCCTATATCCACCATCTGCCTATCTACGGTGTGATGCATGAAAAGGGTTGACCTGTGTTGTGGATGATGTCTGATGACCTGTTTGGCCTGAGGATGGCCTACACTTTATCAAAGTATGAAGGAGCTGCTGACTTCCTGGCTCTATCTCTGGCTCTGACCCACAGCCTGTCTGCTGCAGAACCATGGTACCATTAATGCAATCACCTCACATGGCTTCCCCACACACCCCAGTATAGAGACCACCTCAGTGCTGCTCATATGCAAGAACAGAGTCTGAGCAAGCCAAACTAAAGTCTGACAGTAAAATCTGATGATGGAAACCACATTGGAAATGTGATGTTGTATGTGCTCCATATCCATGTTTGGATTCTAGTTATCCCTCTGGTTCTGGTTTCTAATCTGCTCCAAGCCAAGCACACTTTGCTAGGTCTACCAGTCTGGAGACAAACAGTTTTTACCCTCGCCACTGTTAAGGCAAGTCAACTTTATTTATATAGCACATTTCACACACAAAGGCAATTCAAAGTGCTTTACAGAGGCAAGGAAAAACAGTAACAGCATTAAAAACAATAAGCATTAAAACCAGAATAAACTCTGTTACCTGTCTGGATTTCCCCCCCCAACTCTATGTCAAGCCCATGTATTGAAATATAGGCTTCCTTGTCTTGTTTATCTCTATGTGTCACTCCTATGTTATGTGCTTTATAAGAACCGTTACCTTGCTTAACCTGAGTTTGTTTCTTGTTTAGCTCACAGAGTGATCTCTATTGTTTTTGGCCTGAGAAATATCTTGTTTATGCTTCTGTGTGTATTTTATGGCAAGCTCCTGTTTCTGTCTGTCACTGCACCTGCACCTGTGCTCTCCTGTCATGTTTAGTTGCCTTGTTCCACATTAAAGCCCTGTTACTCTTCATGACATTGCTCTTGCTCTGTTCTTGCACCTGGGTACCAAATTTAAAATAAAAATAATAACTTGTGACAATTTAAACATTTTCCTCCTTGTTCTATGATTCCTGCTTCCCTACAGCCCTCACTGATGATGAGCTGTAGACAGTTTATTTAGTTTCTAACAACAAACTGCAAGTGGAACAAACTCAAAAATAACTTCATGTGACTGTGTGAACATGCCAGCCATGATGTTCCTTTGTAATCATTATAAAAATGGTATACAAGTGTCCATCAATAAGAAAATGCTTTTGTAAGACATAATACTAATATGTCTTCTGGTGTGTGCTAAGTAGCTTTTTTTGAGCCTCTCGTGCACCTGGGACCCCTCCCCTGAGGTGTGCAGCTCTCTCTGATTCTTTCTCTGTGCTTTAGCAGCAATGCACCATTCAAGTCTGCAGACAACTTGACAAATGAGTAGCGATCGGAGCAGAGGGGATACTCGTACTGCACCACACATCCTGTCCCATTCGCATGGTTCTGTCCTGCAGTGGTGCACCGCTCCTAAATGAAACCCTTTCCTTACTCTAAAGCACCAGGCACTTTGACAGTACACACTAAACACATGCTGGTGGTACATATGACAGGGTATGAGGTAAAAGTGAATAAACTCAAGCCACTACAGTTCTAGTGCTGCTTGTCTGCAGAAACTTTATTGTACATTGATGCCAAGATGCACAAATTACGATATTGTAATTTTTTTTATGTTTAAACAATTTGTGGTGTTTAGGATAGAAATCATCATAACAACATATCAGTAATTTTTTAAGTTGAGCTGAAAAGATTAATCAACCGATCGACAGAAAAGCTAAACGTGTGTTCCTCGTTCTTCAGTGTGAGGATTTACTGGTTTTCTTTGTATATATATCTTTGTAAATAGAATCTATTTTAGTTTTGGACAATTAGTTTGACAAAACTTAGGAATTTGAATTTGTCATATTTAGTTCTGGAAATTGTGTCAGGCATTTAAAAAAATTATTTTATGGCATTTTTAAACTAAACAAATAATCAATTAACTAAGAAAGTAGTACGGAGAATAATTGATAATGAAATCAATCCATTATAATAATAATGAGATATATTTTTAAAGATACAAAGACAATACATTTCTAAGTGTGATTAATAGCTTTTGTACATAACTGTTAGCTAGAATTATCTCAAAAGAGAGAGCATCATGGTTGAAAAATTAAATATTACAAAAATGAGTTGCTAACAGTGGAGTAAAACAATGGGTCTCTTAAGCAATATACAGCATTATGTTACTATAAATAAATAGGCAAAGGTCAGTATTCCCAGAGTGAATAATTTTCTAAACCTCACAGACCATACACACAACTATAATGGCAAAGATTTTACTGTTTTTACTGCTGTCTAAGGATTTCAGCTATATGAAGCTGGACTGCACTGGTCTAATGTTGCAAGCCATCTGCTGAAACATGAGATGTCTTCTCACCTACAGCATGAATCTATTTGAGTGCTCCACCTCCAATACAGTCAAAGAGGTGTAGGATGATTTAAAAAGAAAGGCTGCAGCGGCTGCAGATCTTTACTTATCTCAAGACACATTTGTGAGTCAGCTAAGAGGCAGAAAAGTCAGAACACAAAACACCTGGTGACCGAACTAGTTCACAAGCTTCATCAGTATACTGCCTGCAACTATGAATACTGCTTGAGGACAGCATCCAAAACAAGTGAGGAGCTGAGTGTCTGACGCAGCATGCGATCATTCACCTTGGCTCTGCTTGGACTTGCCTTGGTGCAGCTGTCCACACATAGCACAACCCCCCCTCCCCACCGTGCACTCTCTGCCCTGCTGTGGATGCTGTAGAGGCAGTGCGCACTTCCCGGCATGGGGTG